CTCCCTCAGGGGATCTTTCTGACCTAGGGATTGAACCCACATCCTCTGCTTTGGTAGGCAGAATTTTTTCCCACTGAGCTACCTGGGAAGTCCATTTCTTTATAAAAATATATGAAAAATCTTTCATAAAATGCCCCTCAAATTAGGGACCTTGAAGGAAATGGCAACTCACTCCAGTATTCTTGTCTGGAAAATCCTATGGACAGAGGAGCCTGGTGGGCTACAGTCCATGGGGTCACAAAGAGTCGGCCAGGACTAAGCGACTGAGCACAAAGAATAGGCCGTCTCCTACAGCATGGCTCATTCTGCAAAGAAAGTGTTTTGTTCTAAAATTCTCTCCTGATCAGCTCTTGATTAAATACATATATCTCACATGTCATCACATAGTCTGGAGTTTATCATTTCTCTTTTTTAAAGTTATTTTATTGGACTTTCATTTTGTTTCGTTTCATTTGGTTAAGCATCTTGTTTGATGCTTAAAATGATGTGTGCTTTTTATTTTCAAGAGATGGGTGGTCAGAGTCATATTTGTCTTTGTATAACTATAACCTCTAACAAGATGTCTTACAAAAGGAAAGATTATGGATGACTGATAGGTAGATAGATAGGTAAATAGATAGTTCAAGAGCCAGGGTTCAAGGGTGCTAATGCTACATTTTGGGACTTGTACTTTTGAATTCTATTATTTTGAATTGTTTATGTATTACCAATTACTAAAATATATATATTTATGGAATAGAACTTTTGTTATTTATGTATTATTCAATCAATTTTCTCTGTCCTGGGGTTTATGTTGTAATTTAACCAGAGAGAATTATTCCTTAGATACAAAGCTCCAAAACAAGGTCTTCCCACAAAAAAGAAAAAAAGCAACAAAACAGAAAATAAAATAATAAAATGTGGGTATATATGAACAGATACATTTTATTTATTTGTTGGTTTGCTTTTTTATTTAATTGATTTTTATTGGAGTATAGTCACTTTACAATGAACACATTTTAATTGAACCAANCCTGGCAATCTTGATTCTAGCTTGTGCTTCATCCAGCCCAGCATTTCTCATGATGTACTCCGCATATAAGTTAAATGAGCAGGGTGACAATATACAGCCTTGACGTACTCCTTTTCCATTTGGAACCAGTCCGTTTTTCCATGTCCAGTTCTAACTGTTGCTTCTTGACCTACATACAGATTTCTAAGGTGGTCTGGTATTCCCATCTCTTGAAGAATTTTCCACAGTTTAATTGTGATCCACACAGTCAAAGGCTTTGGCATAGTCAATAAAGTAGAAATAGATGTTTTTCTGGAGCTCTCTTGCTTTTTCAATGATCCACTGAATGTTGGCAATTTGATTTCTGGTTCCTCTGCCTTTTCTAAAGCCAGCTTGAACTTGGTTTTAAGTCTTCTAAGACTATGCAAAATGTTGCCGTATTCAATAGAATGTTTCTTTATTAGCAGCCAAGTTTTCTGAGTTTAACACAAAAGGATTGACGTTATTTGAAATATATGGATTAACTAGTGATTTAGTGTATATTTAAACTTCTCTTATTTATCATTTTGATATATGATCATGATTTTTAAAAAAAGAGAAAATACATCAAACTGGACTATTAGAAAAGAATAACATCTAAAGGTCACTCTAGGAAAGAAATTACTTTTATTTTCAGCTTTTTGAAAGGCTATTTTACATATTTGTCTATAGTAAACACTGTTGATTATCAAACCAGATTCAACAACCTAAATTTTACTTGTTCACAAATACATTTGTTCACAGATTTATTTGTTAATCCTTTCTCTGCCAAGTAGTTCTTCCTTTCATGTGCAGGAATGGCTTAATGGTTCTAGTCTTTTCTCTTTGGTGTATCTTTTTCAAATATGGACAAATGATTATATTAGTCAATAAGACAAAAATGAAGTTTTTGGGACTTGGGGGGATAAATTATTCTTAAGTGCAAGATAAGAGCAAATAATCTTGAATAACTGATTGCAGGGTGAAACCACTGGCTCCAACTAACCCTAAGCCGATGTCATCTTTTCATGTATGTTCCACATTTCTCCAAGGTTTATTCCATTCGTTTGACTTTATTTTGTATTGTTGTCTCTATGGCAGCCGAAAAGAATCCTAGTTGACAAAATGATTTACAGTTAATATATTTTAAATTATTTCTATTAATATATATGAGTTTTTCTAAAACCATTCATGAATATTATTTTATTATATTATAATAACAATATGCTATTATAATATATAATACATAATAGTGTGCTCCATGACTGTGGTGATCAGAAAGGAGGTAGACCTTTAATTCTGTCAACCAGACCATAGCAGATTGGAGCCTTAATATCTTATTAAAGTCATCTGGATCATCTTTGCTGGAGGGAGACCTTTAATTCTGTCAACCAGACCACAGCAGACTGGAGCCTTAATATCTTATTAAAGTCATTTGGATCATCTATGCTGGGATATATGTACAGCTAAACTTCCTGATTGAAGTTTTATCTGCAGGAATTGAGCCTGAATAACATTTGACTTTTGCCCTCTGCCTGCTGTTAGGTCTGAACTTCATTAGTTGCTCCATTCTGCAGCTAGTCATTAGATTTACATTTCTTAATTATATTTTTTAAAAAGAAATTGGTAGCGCTTTAGAGCATTGATGAATTGTAATATTTTAATTTAAATCTTAGATTAACTCAATTCAATCCTAGTTTGAATTCTTCTGAAACTACACACTCTTTTCAACAGCCTGCTGTCAGATGACATTTGGAGAATTCTCCCGGACTGCATGTGAAAGCTGATGATTGTTTGCTAGAATATTTCTGGGTAGTTATGAAACAGTATCTGTGTCTCAGGAATGGTCCACCCTCCCTGCGTTTGTTCTGTGGTGTGGAGACCTCCAGTAACCCTTAGGGTACCAGTGGCTCTGTCTCTCCTATGGATGGTGTATTCTGAATTCTGAGCTCTCCCTTCTTATACAGTCATGTTCCATGCCCTGTTTATTTACTCTCTTAGAAACAACTTTTCTCCTGATGTGAGGAAAACGTGGTAGAAGTAATCCCAAAGCTTATTTGATGGCCAGTCCCATCAATCCAGTCAAGTCTACGTTCTTGGTTTTGATATACAGACTTGCTGGATTCCCCAATGTGGTATTAAGAAACTTTCTTCTCCCAGGGACTATAAACTCTTAGGCATTTACAGCACTTTTTGCCTAGATTAAAAACAAATCTAGTTGGTCACTTTACATAGGTGTTTTATAACAGATCTTTAGTTAACGAAATAAAAAATTGCCATCAATGGTATTCAACATAAAACATATAGTTTCAAACTGTACACTATTTAGAAAGTTTATTCCTGTCTCTGTAGATTTTCTACAGTCCCAGTTGCCCCTTTAGTGGTTTTATAACAATCAGTGTATAAAATGCTGACCCACACTTGCTCTCTTTTGCCTGGAGATAAGCCCTCGGGACATCTTGTTGAACAGGGCTATTGGTTGCAAAAGTATAATTGCAGTTCAGAGTGGAGCTGGAGACTGTACCAATGCAGGAAACTATAACCCATAAAATATTAGATTCGTACTCCAAAACTGGAATATGGATGAATTGGGAGTTCATTATGCAAGTGAAAGGCATTCACAGAAGGATGTGCTGCCTGAGTCCACATACGGGAGGTGTCTAAAGTCACCAAACTCAGAGGCAGGGGTAGAATGTCAGTTGACAGGGCCTGGGGACAGGCGGAAATGGGGAGCTATTGTTCAATGGGTGTAACATTTCAGTTACACAAGAGGAGCGATTTCTAGAGGTCTGCTGTAAACATCATGCCACTAGTTTACAGTCTTGTACTATGCACTTTAAAGAAGTTGTCAAGAGGGTAGCTCCCATGTTAAGTGTTCTTACCACAATTTAAAAAAAAAAACCTTACCGGGGAAAAATACTGTTTGGTTTTCCTGCCTGTTACAGAGGTCTTTAACATTCATTTAGCAAATGGTGACCAGTAGAATTGTTTTATATGAACTCAAAAACTAAGTAAGCATGAATCAGATAATCTGTATCACATAATCTATATTGTTCTCATTAGCATTGGTTGTAATCCCTTTCCCCCTATCCTTCCATTGTTATGGTAAAAAGAATGAACATGTGTATCCTCCAGATAGTGTAGGATTTAAGTCTATTTCTGAAATTTGAGGCTGTTTCCTGCAATACTTGCATATGTAAACCATAAAAGTATTAAAATTTATAGACATCGATCATGGTGTTAGACACTGCTTGTATTCTTTAAGCTTTCTCTGATTTGGTTCAAAAATGATTTTTAATTAACAACAACTTGAGTAAACAGTATAGAGTGTAATATTATGTAGTTCACTATAAACAATAATAACTATTTATAAAAAAATCTAACTATAAATTTAATAAAATAAATAGATTTATGTAGTTCATAAACCAAGGGAAACAAGAGGATCATAATTTAGACATCGCCTTCTCTTTCTGTATTTTACTTTATTTGTGATTAGAAAGACTGAATTTAGGAGCAGCCAGAAGTCATAGAGACAGAGTTTAAAAGCTCTTCTCTTTTTAGCAACTTTTGTGCCTGCTTTAAATTGATCATTTGTTTCATCAGCTAATCTTCAAGTAGAGGGCATGTCCTTTCCACTTGCAAAATTCTCTTACATAAGTTGAATTCCCTCCTTATCATCTCCAGCCAATAAGCACTTTATTTTCTTTTTTGTTTCTTGTTAGGAAAAAGAGGGGAAAAAAAATCAGCTCATAACTATTTGCTGGAGCTGTCTGCATTTTAACCCCAGACTATGAACGGCCATCAGAGTGCCCTTATGATATTCTGCACAAAGGCTCAGTGTTCGTGGCTCTACTCAGAGAACCCAAAATAGCATTCAGTAAGCAGTGACATATTGAGGGTCTTGGTACTACATGCACAAGTGTCTGTAACTCAGAGCAATGTGGCTCATGTAAGGGTTGATGAGAAGCCTGTGAAGCAAAATCAGGGCCAACTCACCTACTATTCTTCATGTGTTTCACGTGAAGTTTGAATTTCAGTCTCTTCAGACCTTATTGAACTTGAAGATATACAGGTAAGAATGCGATCATCAGGCAAGTATTGATTATATAAGCTAACTCAATGAAAATAGAGTGAAAAAGTACTTGAAAAACCCTCTAATTTTCCCTTCAAAAGGAAAACTTTCTAAAAATCTCTAAACTTGATGTGTACATTGAACATTCTCTAAAACAAAGATCAATTTAGCATCTCTGCAATTCAGATTCAGGAAAATAAAAGTTCTTTATATCTAGAAAATTTAAAACAAGTTTCTTGGGAGGAATGTAGCATCTTTCTCCAGGATTTTGTTTCTTAATTTTTAAAAAAATATTTACCACTCTACTATCAGATGCCATGCCAAGGTTTAAAGTTATAAACCTTATAGATATTTATAAGTAGAATATCAAATGTTTTCTCAGATTATGTAAATTTATAGTTCAGTTCTATCAGTTTATTTTTTTAATTACTGTACCTGGAGAGAAGACTGTTTATTTTCATAAAATATTTGCTAATTTATAATTATAATTGAGACATATCTATATATTAGATGTATTTGCAATATCAAATGAAGTAATAAAATAGTATACTTTTATATAATATTTTTTATTTCAAATTCAAAGTACTTTAAATGTCTAAATATTGCTAATATGCAAATATATATTTATAACTTTAAATTTGAAAATATTTAGATTTCAATATAATCTGAATATTTCTGTTTACCAAGTATTTACAAATATTTAACAAAATATTTAAAAAATATTTCCAATAAGAATAAACATACAAATTTATAGGTCTAGAATTTCTTAAATTTTTAAATAATGAGTTTATGAAATCTAGAAATCAATTGCTCTGTTTTTCTTTATATCTGTTTTCTTTACCAACACTTTTTACCAATGACTAAAACTAATCAGATCATTAGGTAAATTATATATAATTTTTAGTTTCAATTTTAGCATGTTTTTTATTTGTTTCCTTTTATAATTAAAAACACATACATTTTCACAAAATATGTAGATATCTTAATGCATAGATTATCTACTTATGCATTTTGTTTTATTTTGTTTTCTCCTATGAAATATTTCTAAGGTACTTATCTCCAGAAAATTTTAAAAAATTATTTAATTAAATTATCATAAATTGAAGTTGCTTTAAACTGATGAGCACAAATTCCCATGCATTCATAGGAAACCTATTGTTTAGAAATTTATTATAATATACTACATGTCATTTGATAAATAATATCAATAACTAATTATGAATTGATAGTGAACTTTTTGCCAGTCATGCTCTTAACATTATTTTATATGTAAAGTGTTATAGTATAGTATTTGACATGTTATTGAGTAGCAATGCAATAGGAATAAATGCATTACAAAGTTTGAAAGAGCATACTGATTTTTCATATCCCTTTCATTAGATTAGGATTAATGATACTGACCCTAATATTTGAGTACTATGCTGATGAACATGAGAAATTGGAACTTTTATATTTTGTTGTCATGATGACTTTCCTTAATAACAATGATCATCTAATACCTGTATCTTTGCTTTGGTGTAACAGATTAAGGAAAAACACAAATAGAGAACTTCATAACCCATAAGAATCCTTTCTCTCTCACAGTGCTGGTAACAACTCATAATCTGAGAAATTAATGAGTTCCTTTTGCCATGGTGACCGGGAAGATGTTTGACCTTTCTTTTAAAGACTCGCAGTGTGAGAGTTTTCTTGCCACCACTCACTTGAGAGAATTCAGCTCAAATGCTCTAAAAATCTACCATTTCACAACTTCTAGAAAATCAGTTTCTTTTTGAGACAATGCATGCCCTTTTGAAATAATGCATGAATATTCAGAAGTGATCAAGTCAGACAATTCTTGTTTTACATAAAAAAAAAGAAAAAAATGGCTCTAGAATTAGTAAAGTAGAAATATTTTTGACAGAAGTTTATCTCGTTAATTAGTACTCCGTAAAAGACATCCAGGATCATCAAAAAATGTCTTAAAGTTAAAGGAAAACATGTAATTTTTCAGAGACTCTGCTTTGGCATATTAAATCAAGTTTGAAATGCTATCACAGAACAGTGACTTATCAACATACAAGATCAGTACATTTACATTTTATCTGCTCCTTCCTTCTAAGAACTTACATGATAAATGAATTTCGTAAATTAACAGGATAGTATATTAAAGTGGGAGGACTTTTGGCACATCAGTTGTGGCTAAAAATAACCTAGGTAATTTTCTCTAAGTGCAAAATTTAGAAATGTCATTCCTGTAGAAATGAGGAAATTGTACATAAATCATGGGAAAGGAAAATGCCACCGTTTTTCTGCCTTTAAGTTGAATTATAGCTGAATTGTTTTCAAGAGTTTGCCATCTATTTTATTCTTAAAAATCTCTAGTGGAGCATCAGTGACCTCCTTTTTAAGAGGTTTGGATTTTTTGTTTCGTTTTGGCTTTGGCCACAAGGCTCGTGGAATGTTAAGTTTGCTGAACCCAGGCTCTCAGCAGTGAAAGCGCAGAGTCCTAAACCACTGGACCCCTAGAGAATTCTCATTACCTCTTTTTTTTGCTTGTTTGTTTTTTTAAAGTATTTTATTGAAGTTAGTTGATTTACAATGTACAAAAAGTGATTCACATCCATTCCCTTCTCTGTTCCCTTCTCCAGGAGATCTTCCTGACCCATTCTGTACTGCAAGTGAATTCTTTCCTGTCTGACACACTGGGGAAGCCCTCTTTTTCATATTATTTCCCTTTATGGTTTATCACAGGATATTGGATACAGTTTCCTGTGCTATACCACAGAACTTTGTTGTTCATGCCTTCTCTACATGATAGTTCGCATCTGCTAATCCCACACCCCCAGTCCATCCTTCCCTCACCATCCTCCCCTGGCAGTCACAGGTTCCTTCTCTCCTATCTCTGACTCTGTTTCTGTTTCATAGATAAGTTTATTTGCGTTATGTTTTATTTTTTATATTGTTTATTTTTTTCTTTGCAACATCTTTACTTATCACTCATTTAATTGCCCTACAAATGAGCTCTCAAACACTGTAATTTTTATGTTAAAATTGTTTATTAATTCCAAATGGGCAGAGACATGTATCTGCTTTCTTGTCATTTGCAACTACTTCGAGAGACACATTTACCACTGTAGATGTGTCTAGTCACTCTTCAATTCACTCTTTTCTAATTCTTGAGAAACACTTATAAAATTCTTGAGCTATTCATCACGATGCACCAGCCTTTGGTTTTTGTTTTTAATTAATGAAAAGAAGCCAAATCTGGACACTTCAGGTACACATTGGAACTTGTTATGGACTCTTCTGGTGATAAGTTAAAGAAGATATCTATTTTTCATGTTCATTTGTAATACTGATTTTCTTATTAAATATAACTCACTATCAAACTCTACTTTCTGGATAGCATATAGTTTCTCTGCCAAGAAACTATGTTAACTATCATTGTCATAATTCTGTCCAAAACTTCTTTAAACACTGACTGGTTGTATATATCAAAAATTGCTCAACTAGCTTTCTATCAAACTCTACTTTCTGGATAGAATATAGTTTCTCTGCCAAGAAACTATGTTAACTATCATTGTCATAATTCTGTCCAAAACTTCTTTAAACACTGACTGGTTGTATATATCAAAAATTGCTCAACTAGCTTGAACAATTAGATTTCCACATTTTTTACACAGCAAACAATGCACTGCAATAATGCATTGCATTTCTAAATGTCAGTTTATTTCTGTAGGACAGAGTTTTGCACCTGAGTTTAGTAGATTAAACAGTCTGAAATTCTTAACATTCCTGAAAGATATTTTCTAATTTCAAAATATCACTCCAAGTTATTTTGCTGGTATGAGAAACAAGTAATAACAAGAAGCTATGGATTAGGAATTTAGAGGTCATAGGAGATTAGTGCATATCTTTGAAAGATTTATGGGGTAGAATTGACCATAGATGAAGCTTGAATATGAATGAGAGGTAAAGGAGGAAAACATTAAACAGGGAATTTTTATTCAACTGAGAATTTCTGAGTGGAGGCTGGTTTTATTTGGTGAAAGAAACAACATAATCATGACGTGGAGGGCCCGTTCCAGTATTCTTGCCAGAAAAATCTCATGGGCAGAGGAGCCTGGTGCTGTCCAGAGGGTCAAAAGTGTCAGACACATCTGAAGTGACTGAGTACACATGCACGCAGTGATATAGAATGAAGAATAAAAGATGATCATTGAGATGCCTCTTGGAAAATAGGTTTGTAGATCAGGAAATAGATATGTATAGACTATTCAGGAGATTGCTTTGTGATGCTTCAGTATATAAATATTAATTGAAGCTGTAAAACCAAGAGATAAACATGTACTGAATGGGCAAAAAATTTTTTAAGAACGGAACTTCAGAATTTAGGGCAAGAAAATGAAATGGAGATTCTACAGGCAAAAGAGAAACACAAATGTGTATGGAGATTTGCAAACTGAGAAAGGGAGCATTTTTAAAAAGAGTGTGGTTATTGTGAAGGCAACAATATGTTTTACCACTGTGAAGTTAATTTTACAGTAATAAATAAATGTATTTTTTAGATTTTGTTAAAATATAATGGAAAATTCCTTTTGATCTTGATAGGTTGGTTGCATTACAGTATTAGGGTGGGGGAAACCTAAATTGCATTTTTCTGTAGACTGCATGAGAGAACTTGAAGGCAGTGAATGGACATTTATTCTGCAATGTTTCCTCTCCACTTGCTCTGATACTTACTTTTGGATGTTGTGCCTTTTGAATTAGTGTTCTAATTTCCTGATCTTTTGCATCCAGTTTTCTATATCTATGCATCATTATTCTAGTACCTAAGAGATTTTCTCATATTTATCATTTAACCACCCCTCACCCCACCTTTTAAAAACTAGTCATTAGACTGGACTTCACTAGATGTTTTTTCTGGCAGTGACTAAGGTGATTGATTTAAACATCCCCAAATATCATTATGGGCTTTCCTGGTGGCTTGGTGGTAAAAAAAATCCTCTACCAGTGTA